AAGACAACAACTCCCATGATCCCCGCAAGCCCAAAAATTAAAAAGTATAAAATGTGCAAAGAATCAGTTCAATACCTGAATCAACATTAATCATTCCCAGCAACGACACTAACAGCATCCAATCGCATGCAGGAGAGAACCATAAGGAACTAACATTACATTACTAGGCGCCAGTTGGAAAAAATAATACCAAAGTTTTGTTAGTGCTGTAAACCTGCCCAATAACACTGTAATATACATTTTAAACTGCTTTTGAGCAGCTTATGCTAAGAAATAATATCCTCATTGTGATCAACCTGTAACACAGTCAACAAAATACCATTAAAATGAAGGTAGTTATTTACAAAAACAGAAAGTGTTGGACATTCACTGAGAAATATTGGTGACTCTATTCAAGAGAGAGAAGTTAAGGCCTGCCCAGAAAGTTGTTAGATTTGTTTCAAGGTGTCTTTTGAAAAAAAGTCCCTAAAGGGGTCTTAAAAGTAATAAATCTAGAGAGAAAGTTGCTAAGGTGGCAACACTGGCTCCAACCTGCAGCTTCCTAACTTTGTGTATGCAGAACCTTTACTCTCAGAGCCCTGGACTCCCAAAATAACTCCAACAACTTTGCAATTCCTTTGTCTGGATTTCTCATTCTTGGTTGACATTGCAACACTCCCTTAGCTGTAAAACATGATCTAAGACACATCAGTTGTGTGTGATGTGTCCAACAGCAGATCAGCAGCAGTCATAGTCTACACAAAACTTCAATCATGGCATTCTTGACAGCTTCAGATCAGTTCAAACAGGGGAAACATATCAAAGACCCAAGCTAGCTACATGCTATAAGGGAAAGAAATCGAGTGTCCAGCAAGTCGCTATCTAACAATTTGCCTCTTCTATCCGCATTTTGCCAATAGGTGATTGCTCTCATGCCTACAGCAATGGCAACATTCTAACTTTTATTTAAAAATGCATACACACACTCAACCATACACACACATGCATATCCGTCATGCACACACAGACTTAGTCAGAATCAATCAGTGTGGCCTGGCATTAGTCACAGCTCTGTTCCCTGTCTTTTCCCTTTGTGATTGAGATGGCTGAGGACAGACAGACCAGACACGGAACCATCCCACCGGGACACTGAACAATGATGACAGATGAATACCTGCGAGCGACAATCAAAGTGCTCTTTCATCATCACAAATTCAATTTGGGAGATGGACGTTTGCCCCACTGACGCACGCGTTTCCCCAGCATTAAATTCAAGCCTCAATCTGTCACGTTGAGGCAGCAAATGTGATGCTAATGTGGGCACGAGTTGTATGATTTGTTCAGCGGAGATTTAGCGTCACTTCTTGGCTTCTTTGCTAATATTTGTGATGAGTCAATTACTGGATGTGACAGAGGAAAGGATTAGCAACAGGTGCTGGTGCCGATATGCAAAAGTAGTGTACCATCAAAGGGAAGGGAAGGATTCTTGTGTTCTTTCTCTCTTGTTTTTTGTTTTCCTCCATATTATCATTCTCTCATTATCTCCTTTATCTTTCTAACACCTTTTCTTTCCTTTCCCCTCCAGGGAGTGGTGGCAGCAGAGAAGACCAGAGGGGGTCAGCTCCTTGAGGAGCCAAAGATGTTGCCTTTCCGAGCGAACACCTTCAGCCTCCAGGTGTCCATCCAGGATGTTCCCCAGTTCCTGTGGAGCATCAAACCCTTTACCACATGTCAGGTAACCACGGCAGTAACTGACAAGGTATCAACTGAAAGCAACAGAGATCGGATACTAAAGTGCTAATTTGCAAGCTCCTGTTTTTGCTGCTAAGAGCTAATTATTGCTCCTCCCAGGGTTCAGTCTAACAGTGTAAGGAGTGCTGTGATGTGTTTGTGCTTGTGCTTGTTAGTTAATTAGAGATTCTCCAGTTGGCCCTATTTGCTCAGTGTACTGTGGGATGTATTTAATGCAATGTTAATCTGCTACCACCTTCTAATAAGGCACTCTGTTTGAGGATTTTATAATTGTAATGTTCATTAATATTTAAAATAAAAAACCTAACTAATGCTTTGTACGAAATACATTGAATTAAATCTTATTAAAGTGTCATGCCATCTGCAGGTCCACCCCCCCATGAGATTATCAGACCTCTCCAAGACACCAGTATTTACAGCACAACAGTGATCATACCAAACCAAAAATATATAATAATTAAAAAACTAATAATAGTGATAAACCACTCATTACTCATATAGTTATTCAATTCAATTCAATTTTATTTGTACAGTGCCAATTCATAACAGAGGTTATCTCAGGAAACTTTTCAAATAGAGCAGGTGTAGACCGAACTCCTCTTTGAACATTTGACAGAGACCCCAACAGTATACCAGCACTTGGCGACTGGGGGCAATGAAAAAACTGTGCTTTTAACAGGCAAGACAACCTAGGACAGACCCTTCTGCTCTAGATGGGTGGTCATTCTGTCTCGGACCAGTTTGGGGGGACGGAGACAGACACAGGATGATGAGACACAGGGAAGACACAGAGAGAGAGGAGAGAGAGAGAGAGAGAGAAAGAGAGAGAGAGAAACAGAGAGAAACAGAAAGAGACAGGCAGATGTATAGCAACAACAGTAGCAAGTAGTTATAACAGTACTTATGCATTACCTGAACAACTTTGTTAATTAGAAGGTCTCAGTTTCAAACAGCCACTGTTGTGAGTCATTCATAGTCCATCAGCTTGTCTGTATTCTTTATGTCATTAAACCAAAGGTTAGGAAATTGACTGATTCCCTCTTCAATGTTAATGTGAGCTATTTTACAAATAATAATAATTGTTATGGCAGTAGACTGTTAGGAGACAAGAGTTATTATTGTAGGTGATACATGTTGTAGGGGCTACATTTGTATTAGACTGATAAGAACATATTGCCAGTGGCAATAAATGATAAGACTCCTACTGTGTATGGATGGATTCAAACGTGACCGTTTTTTCGGGCATCTGTAATATATTGTTTCAGTAGTTTCTATAAATTCTTTCCACAGCTAGCCGGATACTAAGTGACACAGCTACAGCCACCTTGGGTTTAGAAAGCAGCCTTTATAGTGTTAGCCGGTGTTTGGTTCTAATTGTTGTCACATAATGCTGCTACAAAGAAGACAAGTGAAATGGAGCTTGTTGAAAATAATTTCTCTTCGGCTCATGACATTTATCGAATAGCTTTATAAACATGTTTGTGCTTTAAAATTGCTCTTTTAGTGTGAATCCTGCTGTCACCCATATTTCTCTCTTAAGGACTGTGGAGAATGGACGTGACTTGAGATTAATAGGTTTGTGTTTGTTTGGCTTGCAGGAGCATAAAGATGCAAACAGCATAAGATGATCGCACCGCAGCAGTCTGTAAAGGCTGTCTGTGTACCTGCTGTTGCCATTTGCAGAGCAGGCGAGCTGTGTCCCCACTGTACGCTGTTGTTCTGATCTGATCTGAATGCTGGGTGAAAGCTCTGTGTTTCAAAGACACCCACCCTCTCCACGGCCTTATTTATGAGGGCTTCGGGACGACAGGCAGGCACCGCGGACCTGCTTTGGTGAAGCAGGTGTGGAATAATAGCCGAGTGCCGTGCCATACATCAAGTTGGCTTTTAGTGCTAAAGAGCGTCCAAGCTTTCCACGTCCATCTCCCCTCCCCCCGCCCTCCGCCAGTGCTCCCAGACTCCATTATCTGCGGCTGTGAGCTGCACCGGGCAACCGAGATCAAAGCCACAAGGGTTAGGTCATCAGTAGGCACACCGGCCGCCGTTTTTAATGCCGCGGTCTTCACTAAGAATCGTTTACAGGTCACTTTTAATATGCAAATACGGCTGAGACGGAGTCTGGCAGAGGTCAAGGACGTTTCCCCACAGATGTGCCCGTTCTCTGGAAATTAATTATACATCAAAGGCAATCTTTTCCCTGTTCCCCTTATTCCTACATAAATTGCTTACAGTACAAAGCCCGCAAGCTGCTTCTGTTATCAGACTCACTGTACGAGGGAATCAGGCTATATTTGTAAATTATATCAGGAGTTCAAAATTCTCTCCTCAACAATATGCATAAATATATCAAGCAATGGTATAACTGAGACTTCAAAGCCATCTTTTACCTTTTATCTCTCCGCGTGTGAGTAAGTGGCTGTGCATGTGACAGTGTGGCCACATGTGCTGTGGCACAGGGAGCTGAATCATCTCATTCCGAGCATATGTTAATATCGCTGTATACTGTGTTATGTTTCTGATGTCCCTCTTTTTTTTCTGCTGCCTCCTCAGGAGTTCTCCTTCCCCCAAGTGTGGTGCAGCAACCAGCAGCCCCTGCACTGTGCCTTCTCTCTGGAGAGATACAGCCCTGCCACCGCCCAGCTCTCTTGCAAAATCAGCGTGCGCCAGGTCAAAGGCCACGAGCAGATTCTGCAGGTCTACACGGCTGTGGCCGAGGTGAGGCTCTGCAGCTGCGGGAGGCGCGCGGGGGTGGGGTGTTTCACTTTCAACCTTTGTGTAACCTTCCTGGAGTGTGTCCACCGACAGCAGGACCAGCTCTCCTGAGCTTGCACTGTGTATTAATAGAGCGAGGAGGACACGCTTACTTTCTTACCTTCTTCACAGATTTATGCTAAACACAAACATTAGAGATCCAGCTGTTCAACACATTTACTGTACATATTTTTTAACCTTTATTCGTCCGGGGTGAGATGTGTTCCAGCAAATAGCCTGCATCACATTCACATGCATTAACACCTGGGAGCTGCCCGGTGTAACAACAGTCTGCTGTCAGCCGCTGAGCAGCTCCACTGGAGCAGCTAGGAGCTAGAAATCCTCACTCAAGAGCACCTTGACAGTAGTTGTTAGGGCAGAAGAGAGTGCTACTCATTGATTTTACCCAACTGCTTGTTCACAATCAGTCACAAACGTGCTCGTCCTACCTCAAGGCCACCAAAACTGTGTAAACACTGGAGAAATATTATTTTCAATAACTTTTTATGGTTTGTTTTAATCCAGATTAGTTAAACAGGAAGAAGAAATAAAGTGTTTATCTGAGCTGTGGGTTTACCACCACATCACCACATTCATTTTGGCACATACAGTAAACAGACATGACCATTTGTAGGACAACCTACACCGTGTTTTACATTGTGGGTCACTGGATTTAATCAATATACAGAGCACCCACACAGCAGTTTTAGAGCTGCTTCATCCCAACATGACCAAGTTTTCATCCAAATTTAGCACAAATTTTAACTATTATTCCAGATAATTGGCAAAAGAATCAAGGTTTGGCTGGGGATGGCTCTGATTCTCCAGTCGGTTGCCATTTAACCACTGCAGATGAAGAGATGACGTAATTAAAAGAGGGCCAATCAAACATCAAACGGTTGAAAACATGATGGAAATGTGACATTTATGTTTGTTTCATGTATTCATTGCAGAAATGTTGAACTGAGGTTTTATCCATACAGCATTATTTCCACGTCAGCCAAGTGTAAGAACCGAAAAGTTTATTTCGGATTTTCTCTTTCAAAACTCAGGTTTTGTTACGCACAAATTGAAAATGGAAATGCACATGTGGTTATCCTGTTCAAATCAACTTTGCACTAATTGGAACTAATGGTAAATTTGTTTGAATTCCAACCCAACCCCCATAACCGATTCTAAACAAGAATAAATGTTATTCCGTTCTTTCCGTTACCTCTGCTTCACTTCCTTTTTCCATCTATAGCATTGAATCCTAAATTCTTCCTCACATTACTTTGCAGGTGGTTTGATGTCAACCATGCTGATAGCATGGCTAAAGTAAGCTAGCCTACTGATGAGTGAAAGGACCCTGTTGCAGCAGCCAAACTGAAGTACAAGGCCCACCTGTTGCACTTACACTGAGAATTGTAAACAGATGAGTACTGTTTAAATCTTTTTTTTTTTAATAGTTTGAATTTGGAATTAAACATCATTTTTGACTCTAGCCTTAACCTTTCAAATAATACAATGGGGCAAAAACAGTCCTCCAAAAGACAATAAACTGTCAGTGTCTCATTTGTGTTAAGCTGAAACTTATAAATTCATAATTCTTTTACATGCTTGTCTCATTTTCAAATATCAGACGTACACATACAAAGTAAAAGTACACTGCACTGTGCTCTCCATCCTGAGTGTACCGCGTTGTGTTGATCGTGTACAGAGGGCCACAGGGTACGACCACATTAGCCTTCCATTCAACAAAACTGTCCAGCACTCAGCCCTGCCAGAGTGTGATGTCAGGGTTGCAGTGGGTAATAAATAAATACTGAGCAGAGCCATCACAGACTGTAAACAGTGTAAGAGAGCCATGCTGTTCGTAGTCTGGCAGCGGGATGTACTAAACAGGTTGATGGCACACAGTAGAACAGTGACTGTAATGCTGTATTTCCATACACAGTTTGGTCATTGCTCAGTCAACTGAACTGCAAGTCAACCGCAGCCTGCTCGAGATCGAACCGAGACAGGAAATGCATGCTTGAATCTGTCCTTTGTACAGGCTTCAATTTGCAGGACAGTGACCATGCATTTAGAGTTATGGGTGGCATTTCTTCAGTCACTGTCTGCCAATAAAATAAAAATTCATCACGAGACATCATACATGCTTGAGCTCCCTTGGGGGTTTGTGTGCTGGAAGTGCTTGTACTGCCTCAGGCCACATATGCTTGCCTGTGATATTGGACATAACAGGAAGAGGGCGCTGTTCTTCTATCGCAGAGAGTCAAAGTCACTGCCAAAATAAAGGCATAAAGCAATGTGATTTATGGGAAATATGTTGAACTAATACCAATGAAAGATTGCTTTAATGCTTGTAGTTGCTTTTTTGTGTGAAGTAGAAGTTAGATCTGCTTCTTTGGTTTCTTTCGTATGGTAGTGGAAGTAAATATGTGTATGGGAGCCAAAAAGTGAAAAAAAGAACTGAAATTCAGACCAACAAACGACCTGGAGGCGAGTGACCTGGCTAACCAATGAGTGAGCAGGGTTGACTGGTTTTGTCCAATGGAAGAGGCAATGCCAGCCTAGAGGCTACCAGGGTTCAGTTTGAAAATGGTGCGCACCGTTTTACAGGTTGAATATGTTTCCTCGAAATCATGTGCAACAGGCTTTGAGGTACATTTTCACTTGTTTGTTGGGTGGGTGTATCAGAGGTTACCAAATCAGCAGCAACATGTGTATTAACCCTGCCATATTTTAAAGGCAGTTCAAGCTGTGCAATAGTGTAACAGAACAGGGTGTTCAACGCACTGTTTCTGTTTAAATAAATGTTTTACTACGTTTTGGCGGGGCTGAACGCGGCCCATATGTCTTATTTGTTTACAGCAAAATGCTAAACATACCTGTCTGAATTGTCCCCAGGTAACCCCGCCCATCTGGCTCTCCAGGCTGGTTGAAAGGGGCACAGAGCGACATTTGCAAATCCTATCTGACCCCGGTCTGATTATTGTCTGTTTCTGTTCTGTTCCTCCAGACTGAAAAGGAGTCGGTTCCATTTTTTATGCAGACAGACTGCACCATCACGTCCCAGACGGGGCCCAAGGCCTTCAAAATCCCCTTGTCCATCCGCCAGAGGATCTGTGCCACCTTCGACACTGCCAACGCCAAGGGCAAGGACTGGCAACTCTTAGCCCAGAAACTCCACTTAGATCGGTGAGTGTGTTTTTGTGCATCCTCTCTGAGACTGCATGATGTGTGTGCACCCTCTTCTCCATAATGGCCTCGCCTTGAGCACACGCTGACAAGAATGATAACAATCCTGTGAGTGTTGTTAATCTCATGAATGTGGCTTTATATGCAGCTTGTCACCTGGTGTCTTTTGCGCTGCGTGTTCTCTCCGAGCAGCCGGGGACAGGACTGATTATTTAACTGTACAGCACATTGGTGATTGTGAATGCTGTTGAATGCTGTGGCTTCTAACGTGCACTGTGGTTTTGTGCTCGCCTTATTATACAATTTTCTTTTTTTCTTGAAGTGTTATATCATATGCATCTCTTCCATTTCTGACAGTCTAACATATGTGTGATTTATTTATTTATCACTTGTTTGTCCTGTAATAATAAAATATGCATTCATGATGAGACACTGCTACTGCTAATATTTACTCAATCCAGTTGTTGTCTTTGCTTGGTTTTAGCTTGTGGCAGCTATAATCTCCTGTTAAGTGCATGATTCATGAGACGCTGGTATCTAAGAGTCCTTTGGGATTCCAAATTATCCAGATAAGCTTTCCTCTCCAAGTTGGGCAGCTTTGAACTGAGCCTGATGTGACCAATGGCTGCAGCCTTTTATGTTGCTTGATGTTCCCCCCCCCCTGCCTTGTGAAGTACCAAGGAGCGGCAGTGAAACACTGCCCCCAACTGGATTCTACACCGCATGATGCACAAAGGCATTATATTGGCATGGCAACAAGCTCTCTTTTCTTTAATTTTGGCAGCACCTGAGAATGAAATTCAAACCAAAGTGTGCTTGCCAGTAATTACACATCTTTTGTGATGGTAATTTATCTTTGATTATATTTTTAATAGTCTTAAAAGGTCATGTAGAACCAGATGGTTTTGTTTACTGCACAATGACAATTTGTGCTAAATTAATTTTCAGTAACAGACAGAAATAATAAGTAGATTCTCTAATAGTCAAGTGGTGGAGACCCAAGGACCCAGATGGGTTATGTTAATATTAATTATGGATCTGATCTTTAGAGTGTTTTGGAGCATGTGGATAACCGTTCTTTATACAGTGCTTTCTCTAAGTAGATAATAATAGAGACATTTCAGTTTTGTACAGAATGTCTGGAACTCTCTAATACTAATTATTTTGTGTTAACTTATTATTTTTTATTTAATTATTTGCAGTTGCTGAAATGTTAAATCATTTGATCCTTTTACATTGTACCATTTACAGCATGTAATCAGAATTTGTGGTATTTAAAATTAAATTATACGTCTATATCAGACAGAGTGGGCAGAGTGATACTTTGTGCGGAAAGAGTTAAGGGAGCCTGGGATCCTAGTACCATTTTGCATCATAACAATACAATACCATGCTTGCTTTTGTGCCGTAGCCACATTAAGTTTAAAATTTTGGCCCTCCAAGGGAAAAGGTTTGGGCATCCCTGCTATAGTGTATCTGTTAGAATGTATATATTACTGCCATCATCACCATAGCTGGCTAGGCCGAATCAGAGAGCTGCATTATTTCTCCTGTGGAAAAAATACCAACAAATCACTAAATAGACCACTAAATAAAATAATGCAATTGCATAACATACACCCACATTTATTCAACAGATATTTCAGAACTTGTCTTTTTTTACCTGTTTTATAATGTTTACAGCAACAGTTATTTTTTATGTTTAAAGCTGCAGTAGGTAATTTTTTATAAAAAAAAACATTTTAGTCATATTTTCAGAAACTTTCACTATATCCTGACCCCTCGCTATATCTCGATAGCAGTGCATGAGACAGATAATCTGTGAAAAAATCTGATTCCTCTGGGTTCACATAGTGCTCCTAATGGCATTTACAAGAATCTACCGGGCCTTAATGAAAACAACCAATCAGAGCCCAGAAAGATAGTTCATTGTTGAGTCTCATGGGCGTCAAATACAGACTGATGCAGGACTCTGGGAATCAACTATCTTCAAACTTCCAACCTAGAGCGTCTTTATTTTTCTTGGCTCTGATTGGTTGTTTTCATTCAGATTCTTGAAAATACCATTAGGAGCACTAGGAGGAGCCAGAGGAACCTGACTTTTTCACACATTATCTGTCTCATGTACTACTGTCAGAATGTAGTAAAAGTTTTAGCATATATGACAAAAACTTATTTATAAAAAAGTTACCTACTGCAGCTTTAATGTGGTGCTTGATCCCCCTATTAAAGGATATTTCTGGTGATATTCTATATCTTTTTGTCAACAAATCCAATGAAAAGACCGAAACCAACAATGAACTGACCCTACTAACAAGAATTGTGTGTGTATAAAAGCCTGATACATCATATTTCTCTGTGCCATAGAGCTCCATTGTTGTCCAAAAAAAAAACATCAGTGAGCCTCACTGTTGCACTAGGTGATACAGTCCTTCATTATCACGAACACACAAACTGTAGTTTATTAAGACTTATGAAGTCCCACATACACTGTCCTGCTGCCCCAAATACTCACACTCCAAATGTGTATTAATCCACAGTGGAGAGTCAACAAATACACTATTTCCTCCTGTTTGAGTAACGTTTGCTAGAAACTATAATGCCCAGCTGTAACTGCAACTATAACCATAACCCTAACCAGTGGAAGTATTGAGAGATGGACTAACACATTGTTGTCCTTGATCTTTAAATGGGATTTGTTGTCAAAAATAAACATATACAATAACTTTAACTATGATCCTTCAAGGTCCATAGTCTAAGCACTGCTGGCCTTGTTTTCTGTACATCAGAATAATGCACAACACTTACTGGCAATGAAAACCATTTGATTTATTTATAGATTCAGTTTGACTCACATCTTTTACAAGGTAAACATAATCAGCAAGGTTCATATCTGAAGCCTACATGAAACATTTTTCCCAGGGTCCTTTGTTGCTCATTAATCTGGCTCCGTGTGCTCCTCTACAGAAACCTGGGTTATTTTGCGAAGCAGCAGAGTCCGTCTGCGGTCATACTGAGCCTGTGGGAGGCTCGCCACCAGGACACTGCTGACCTTGACTCTCTAGCCAGCGCCCTCGAGGAGATTGGCAAGATCCACTCCAAAAGCTCCCCCAAGGACCAGGATGAGCCGGAGTCTGACTTCAGTCACATACAGGCAGGCAGTCTGTGCGGAACGGGCACACTAACAAATCAGAAGACAGAGGACTCTGCTCCAGAATACACAGGCTGAGCGATAACAAAGAGACAGTGAGGGAAAACTGACGAACTAAGGCATATATCTGTGTACGTGCACAGCCGGTGATGGACGACACACTGTGGCGGTGCGCTGGAAGGTCATCAGGTTGTCTATGAATGGACGGTGCGAGCAGTCAACATGTCGAGGTGAGCCGGCACCCGCTGTGGATCTACCCCTCTCTTTTAAGAATCTGTCCGAGGATGGACTGTAAATCTTTTCCTGCCTTTCCACTCGATTTCTAAGTTGATCTTTGATTTATTTGCTCCTTATTTTGAGTTAAAACTATCCCCTCTGTACATTCATTTCCCAGCTCCGAGGGTGAGTGGGGGAGAAGGAGGGGGGTATTTCCTAACCCTTGTGCGCCCATTGTTTTCTGAGTTTGTGTTGGAGGAGATGGGAGCTCCTCTATTCCTCGGGACCGCCTCCCCTCCTTTTCCCAGTGGTCAGCATGGCAGCTGGATACATTTGCATAGAGGTTCTTTTATGCAAAACACCTGTGGCGTCATTTCAGAAACACCTGATCTAGTTTCTTTCTCTTTCCCCCCCACCCACACCATATCCCTGTGTCAGCGAGTGAATGAGGACTTAGAAGCTACTTTTTGACGTCCAATATTATATTTTTAAAAGACAGCTGCTGATTGCTTAAGTGTTGTGATTGTGAACTTTCAAAGCCAAGTATCTTGAAATTCACCCATTTTAATCTCTTTAAAAAAAATAATCTATTGGAAGTTTGGCATTGACAAGACAGCCAGCGTTGTATGATCATTTATATTAACAATCCTTTAAAAATGAGCCCCAGTCTAACCTTGAAGGACAGCGCGGTCAGAGTACTCATGTGTTATAGGGAACAAAACATGGTTGTGGCATAATGTGGCAGAGTGAGATTTCTAACCGTGGCATTACAGTTCATTACAGTTTCCTCCGCCATGAGATAGACAGGGAGGAAGCTGTAAAACATCATTTCCTGGCACCGCAGGGAGTGTATCGCCGCATCTTATCACCCAATTCCCACCATTAACACCCGTCACGTAGACCTCATATCAGGCCCTGACACACCCGACTGCCCCCCCTCACCCCCTCAGACGCACACATTGACATTTCATGGCTACAGAGGTCATGTGCACACTGACTGGGAGTTTGCATATTGTACAGCAAACATAGAAGGAATACTGATGCCGGTGTCAGTGTCAGAAATACAACATGCAGTCGTACATCTGCTCAAGTCAACACCAAACACACATCGTTCTGAGAGACAGATAAGGGACAGGATGCTCCGTGCATGTGAGGCTTGAAATCAGGAAAGCAACCAATGAGGGAGAAAAGTTGGCTCACCTAATAGTGCTAGTAGTACTGTATGACCTTCTGAATCATCGTAAAGAAAGATCAACAAAATCCGTTGAAATTTTAGGCTCAACACACTCACAGGTTTTGTTATTGTACCCAACTAAACAGGACACTCACTGTCATTGAGGTAAGGATTTGAGTAGCTGAAACCTGATTAACACTATACTGTACCAGTTCCAATACATATACAGTAAATACAAACAATCCACATTTGAATTCATCCTTTTTAAATGAAATGTATTCAGAAGGCCTTTATGTTGCAGAGAGGTTTAAATTCTGTACCTCAAATAACAATTGGTCTCTCTGTCTTCTCTCTGTCAGAGAGATGCATGTTGGGTAAATAAGGTCATCCAGATTATGCAGGCACACATTTTGTCCCTCGCCCTTAGTGGTATCTAGCCATGCAAATAGTGTTGTTCTGAGATATCTGCCTCTGAGATTTCTGCCTCCACCTCAGTGCGGTGGAGGTGATGGAATGTCGATTGTGGTGCTCATGGTATTGAAAAATCATACTGAAAGAAATAAACAGCGATCTTACCAGGAAAATGTCACACACTCACACACACTGTTTTCATACAGACTATTTCATATGTACCACAAATGAAATTTCATTCGCCTTGTACTTGGTGCTAGTTTTAGTTTCTTTTTTTTCGTAATCTGGAGGGTACTCAAATGGAGGAGAGCTAGCCAGTGTGAGCTATAGAAGCAGGTTATAATCGATCCTTTGAAAAAGCACTGACTGTATACATTTCTTTTCCCTCCTGTATATGAAGTGTGGAGGTTAGCCTTATTTTGGTGACCTCAGCACTCGGTACATCCTGTGGTTCGGTCACACAGCATAACGCAAACTCTAGGAGGAAAGTTATTTTCACGAATTTCATTCATTGGTTCTGCCCCAGGAAAACATTTATTTGTTCCATGCAGACAGTGGATATCAAATACATTTGATGATACAGCTGGCTTCTGAATAACAGGTACAAAAAAACAGCATTTAGACTTTTCCCTCAGTGTTGTATGAGGAACACTAAGTTAGCTTCTGATCGGGCTGTACAAGCAAACATTCGGCTTGCGGAGGTCACACAAATGTACTTTAAGTCTGTGTTGGAATAACTTGAAGCCAAGTGAAGCACTTTTTAATGAGAGTATACTTTGGCATTTGGTGTAAAACACCCAAAATTTGTGAGACTTTTTGGTCTTGTAAAACATTATTAAAACAAATAAACAAAAAGAAGCTAATTTTGACTGCCAGCTATGGCACTATTTTAACTATAACTCTCCCTTAACTAAAGACAAATGCAGCAATGACTCCAGGTTTTGTGAATCGTCACTGTGAGGGCTTTGGTGGTAGACATCAGTTAACCTTATGGTTTGAGTTTTGTATCTTGGCATTTCAAAATCTCACAGATAAATTCAGGAAATAAGCTTACTTGTCACAGTACCTGGAACCGGTATGTGCAAACATACAGGATGAGTAATGTGGTACCAATGAAAGCGTTGGCTCTCCCTTGCACACTATTTGATTTTGTTGAGTCAGTCTTTGCTTTAATCCACACCTGAGTCTGTTGTGCCCACAAATCCCAAATTGTCTCCTCAAATCTCAACTGCATAAAGAGTCAAAAGCAGCAAAAAAAAAATTGGGATTTTTTTTTTGGCCTGCGGTTGGATAATATTACAAAGTCAGACACCATTTCTTCATCTTCAAATTGGTACCTCCAACCATGACTGACTTACATAATTGATTTACATAATTAACCTGAATAAGGATCAAATAAAGTCCTTGCTGTCGGCAAAATAAACTCAACCTGCAGTTCTCATTTCTTGTCTGCAAAACCAGTTATTCAACATGTGTATTCTTATTTCTATTCTGTTGGCTGTTTTTTAAGATTTGAGAGCTAAATGTATTTTGAATATTTCCCTCAGTGGTTTATCAGGAATGATATGATGTCTTTGAACACATCACTGAGTATTTCTGACCTGATATATGTGAACAGTTTCATCCTGCTATAATAAAGAACCCTTTTTATTTCTCTGCATCATCTCTATGCATTTCTAATCAAATTATATTCATTTTTCTATGTCATTTGAGCTGGTAAGTGAAGAAAGTAAAAGATAATCTTTTTTTTTTGTTGTTGATTGTTTCCTTAATTGTGACTAACTGGATTCTCCTTTTCATTCCTGCAAGCAAAGAATGTCAAAAATGTAACGCTTAGCGGTGGCTTATGTTGCATCGAGAGCAACCTGTCTGTGCGGTACACCCCATCACCCTCACCGTTCACCGCCATTCTGGATGTGTTTCAGCTATGTCTACTGTATCTCATCAGCGTGTTGAAATTCTGTTTTTTAAAAGTAAACTCAGATACACACACACACACACACACAAACGTATTCTCACTATGTATAATGCTTTGGTGTAAGACTAACCCTGTTTCATGAGATTAAAAGTTCACTGTTGAGTCTATGATTTTCTGTCACCTGAGTTGGTCGGTCTCATGCTCTTTTTTGCTTCACGCATGGCCTTTGGCTTCATATCACTATTCTTGTGCCTTGTTTAACTACTGTAAATGGTGAATGTTGTAAAGTACAGATGGGGATGAAAAAAAAGAACAATTAATCATACTGACATACATTTAAAGGTATTAGTTGAAAAAGTATTTAAGATTATAATATTGAATAGGCTGCGGAGCTTTTCTAGTGCTGAACATCTATGTTTGGTAATGCCAGGGCAGCTTTGTGGTATATTGTATCTATAATTATGGACATTTTGGATGTTTTCTGTACAGTAGAATTTGCAAATGTATATGCAGCCTTTTGGAAATAAATGTACAGTTGAAAGATCTCAGCTTGTCTAAACGCTAGTTATTTTGCATCATGCAGTGAAGCTATCGATACAGTAATTCCCATATCTAACTTACATGGAGCGAATTATGTAAATGTAGGATATGTACAGTATTGATATGTGGCGTTTAGGCTCTGACCTTGTCACTCCCCACAAGGAAACATCAAGGCCAGTACAGCAGGGATCGGGGGTGGTGATAACTGCCCCTCTAGCTTGGCATAAACTGGTTCTGCTAGAAAATGCGTTTTTCTTAAGTTTACGTCCCCTAAAATGTCTGACCTCGACCGTACTGGCTTGGTATCTGTGCAGAGTTTGTCAAGCAAGTACAAGCAAATACACCTGCCAAGAAACCTGAAACCTCCAGCACAGAGAGTTAGCACTAGCATAGTGAAACTTTTGACAGCAACATGGCGGAGTATGCAGTTTTAATCGGAGCATGGAGCTTCCTTCCACTATCTACTACATAGTAACAATGTGACAATGTGAACAACATAACAGATATTACATGTTCCACAACCACTGCCGTCCGCCACTGCAGTAACAACCTAATAAGCCATTTAACAACATAAACGAAGATGCTAACTACACTTCCATTCTGATATGTCTGCTAGTCGTCGATTGTGACTCCTCATCTGAGTCTCCGTCTGACTGAGGCTCGAACATGTAGGCTGTAGCTGGATCTCTCCGATGTTTCCTCTAAAACTATAGCCATCTTTATCCTCACTGCTCACCGGTCCACCTAGCAAGCACCGGTGTGACAGAGAACAATATGTCTTCCAGTCCCTTTTCAGAGTGTTTTTTTTTTTCTTTTAATGTGGGATAACCATGTTAAACAAATATTAATTAGTTAGAGTATTTTGACCTACTTGAAAACGTGTCTGGAGGGGATCTTTAATTGTAGCATCCGTATCAAATTTGCACTAATATTTATCTAATGAAAGGAGGAATAATGTTGTGTTTTATGAGGGCCTTTTTTTATATAGTTTGAAAGTGACATGGATTAAACATTCTAATCAACATAATGTTATATTGAATATACTGATGAATCAATGTCAATATATTATATTGATTTAGCAAAAATTTGTAGGACTTAAAATCAATGCAGCAGAACCTTGTTCAAATCTGGCGCCCACATTACCCACAATGCAACAACACCTGGGTCAGAGATTCAGGTGTATTTTGCTAGAAGCAGCTAATGTAGCCTCAAGCCACTAGCCTCAGGCTGAGGTGAGGAGCAGGCTACAGGTCTGGTAAGCTCTTTTCTTTCTAACTCCATACACCAAGTGACATCACCTGAGGCAATTCATCAGATCTTGTCAAGTGACATCACTTGAGGCAATGTATCAGCACAGCTTCCTCTAGAGATATGAAAGGCTTTATACATTTCACATATGTAGCTCCAACAGTCCAACAGCCTGTAAACAGACACATTGAAGTTGAACTTAGAGTAAAAGAAGAATAACAGTTCACCCCTCATTTTTGAGCTCTCTATGTGGTTTGAGGTATATTTCCTGAAAGTGCGACTGCAGACAAATGATTGTGTTCTCTGTTAATACCACAGTTCAAGGTTATTATTCTAGCTGAAGGTATGAGTAATGTGAGTCATGTGTCAGTAATGTGGTACAATGTAGGCTGTACTGTAGGTGTGTCCTTTTAAGTTAGAGTAACTGTGAGAACAATTACATCATTCTTTACCAAACAACAAACGGCTTGAAAGTAAAGAGTTGGGTTTGTGGCTTGTGAGTGGATGCAGGCCATTAAACACAGTAACAGAAGAATGAAATGATTCAACTCAACCTCAGACATTATCCTATCTCAGAAACAACGGAGGCAGTATTTAAGTCAATCAGGACTGACATACAGCTGATATGTCAGATAAAAAACCTCTGTGGGAGTGATATTAGTAATGTCATCTCAGACAAGTTGAGATCAGTATCTAAAATAAAGCTAATATTTGTGACTTGCAGCATTTCCATTTGCTTTGAATCAGGAACTGCTCTTTTTTTGAAGGAGAATATATTTATTACATTTTTCATAAACAACAAAGAATAAAACAGCTCAGACATAGTAATAAATAAGTATAGAAAAAAGAAAAAAGAAAATAAAATAAATAATGAATTACACAGACAGGCTAGGCCGGTTTAGGAAACCCTTGCAATAAGGGAGATGACAACGTGGGTCCAATATGTTCTAAGTAAGGGTCCCAAACTTAGAGTCTATTATAAGATTGTGCCATGATTTTTTTGTTAGAGTAACATCCTAAAGAGCAAAATGTTCTTCCTGGCAACAAAAGTCAGTAGAATGAATAACCTCTTATATTTGATATTTTTGAGTATCTGGTAGACCAAGACACAATGCTCCGCCTCTAATTGGCTGACCCTGACCCTGACCATCTCACTCCTCATGGCTCCATTTCAGGCTTATGGGTTTAGCTGAAACGTCTAGCTAACATGCTAGCAAAAACATACATTAACATAATGTTTAATGAGTATGGACATTTACATATGTTTGACAGTATAATGTTTCAGAGGGCGAAGTACAGGGGAGCCAGGGGTAGCTTGGCTCCTCTTAACAAGACATGAGTTCCCCTGAAAACATAATATGTGAAATTTTCAATCTCCAAAATACAGGCAATATGCTATTTTTGCCATGCATTTCTTTTCTATATCTTCATCATTATGAACCATTTGTACAGTTAGGCTAATACTGATGTATGATTCATGCATGAGGGTGATCTAATTCACTTTAATAAAGATACCAGTATCCATGCTATTCTTGCCATCAGTACTGAAGCATAGCAGCACAATATCAAAATATCAGAAAAAAGACAAACTTTTCTCAGTCTGCACACCAAACCGTTGCATTATTTCCCCCAAAAGCTACAGTATAGTTTGCACACTGTAAAGCTCACTAGTGGCTTTAACAATAAATGAGACAACAATGAATTTGCTGTTTTGAACTACAGTGCCAAAAATGCTTTTTTACCATGACTTCTTGTTTAGTAAAGACAAAAACAGTCCACCCCGATCATCACAGCAATGACAGCTGCAGCTTCTTCTGCTCACAGAAGTTGAGTTTTCTCTGAAAGCACCGTGTTGTCTGAAGCATGGTAATTCCCATTCACCACAACTGAACTCTTACCATTTCTGTGTATGAGTAATCAGTGGGTAGTTACCTATTCTGTAGTGCTCCACTGTAGCATGTTTACCAGGTTCATTGAGAAACATTACATCACTGCTGAAGACATTCCATAAGACATGGGTCTTGAAAGTAAAGGGTTTGGCTTGTGGGTGGAACACCATTAAACACCAGAATCAACATTTATGGTTTTTCCCTCACATAGTGAGGCACCGTGTGAAGACTGTCACAGCACTGTAGTTCACACGTGTCCCACAGTAATTTCCCCCTGATATCAAATAATTCAACATATAAATCAACAATAAATAAAAAAAAATTCATATTCCATATAAAATTATTTCCATATAATGCTACTTTGTACTAATATTTACTACTTAATACTTTTTACTCCATTACATTTACAATATTTCACAGCTATAGCCTACTATTCAGATCAATATTTTATTTATTTATTTTATTTATTTAAAACATTTGATAATCTTGAAAAAAAAACTATAAAATAGCATAGTTATACATTATACTACCCAAAAGTAGAACTGAATTGTTAAGATTAGCTACATATTTGAGAGTCAACATTTTTCATGACAACTTTCAAAATCTGCTTACACATACATGTTAAAAAATGAGTATATACATTTTTGAAAAATATAACTCTAGGGACAGTGTTCATAATGAGTATGTTTACTTTGATACTCTTAAGTACATTTTGCTGCTAATACTTATGTGCTTTAACTTAAGATCTCACGCTTTTCTTCATGATGCCGTGATCTCCTCTCATTACAGTTGCAGATTTGGCTGCTCTAATAATTAATATTATGAGTACAGTAAAAAGTCACATATGACAAACTTGTATTGTATCATTACTTTGCCAGCTTAAACATGTGTTTATCATTGTGTTTTTTATCTACAGACACTGCAGGTCCTCTTCTACAGAGGCTGTCATGTTGAACCGCCATGTTCTACAGTAGCCCAGAATGGACAAACCAAACACTGGCTCTAGATAGGGCCTTTCTGTCACCAATCTGTACCTCCTGTATTTATTTGTTTGTTGTTTTCCTTTTATAAGCCTCCATCAGTTGGATGCCACTCACTATGATGCACACTTCTGTTTCACATCACCTTAAAAGGTGGTTATGTTCCAATTGTTTTCAACTGAATCTGTCTTGACAAAAACATGACAAAGCATTATGTTGACTCAAATCAGTCAACTCTTTTATAGCCCATTTCCTGTCTGACACCATACAGGGCTTTTTAGTTTCATATGTGCTACTGAATGCACTTTCATTATAGGCTCGATGCCTTATTAACATGCCGTTTTCTCTGTCCCTTTTGATAAGGTTTGTACAATTCCCTGCACTGTGTGTCTAAATGATCCCACAGAAGACCCTGTAAGAGAGGGAAAAATAATATTTTCCATATCATTAGAATTGATCTTGACCTGAGTGCAACAGATGAGCAGAAAGCAGTTCAGTCCATCTTAATGCAAAATTCATGTCTTATCTCGGAAAAAGCGGCTCAGAGGTTTTAGCCTCCTCCCTGGCCTTATCGTCAGAAGCACAAGTTCCAGCAGCGTGCAGGGGTAAACGGTGCAGAGTCTGTGCAGTAGACTCTGAATGATTCTGGAAATAAAACTGGTAAAACAGAAATGCAGTGACGTATATTGCAAAATTAAGAATAAGATGTTGAGCTGCAGTGCACAGTAGGCTCATAGAGTGCCTGCAGTCTTTATTTCTAAGTCTGCCTTGCAGCCTGTGAAACCATTAGTCACCCAACTATGAGTCCAATCTTTGCCCATGAGTCTAGAACAGTTAGCTAAGCACCGCAACTAACAGACTGAAACTGAAGATGGAGCTTTACTTCAGTAGGTCTACTGCATCGACACATATTCCACATCCCAGCCCAGGGTGTTCAGTTGAACCCACCCCTTCCTGTTGGGCTGCATATCAGCGTGCTGCAGACAACTGCTCATTAGATAATGTTGAACTGACACATAAAGGAGAATGAGGTTTGCTAAAAACTGTGATGATGGCTGACTTCATGCAGTTGGTGATGAGAGGCTTTGTACAATAGTCTGTTTTCCCCATTATCCTGCCGGGCCTAACAGCAGAGTGGAACCACTTGGAACTGTTATTCGCTTTGCACTACAACATCACTAGTGATGCCATCCTCGTTCAGCCTGAAAGCACTCGTGCCTTTATATATCCAAGGTGACATACAATGGACAGCAGAAGAGGTTTTTATTAACATATTTTACATTTGTAAATTAAGTGGAGCTAGGGGAAGACTTTGTGGTGACAGTGAAGTGGAACTACTGCTTCAAATCAATAGGCTGAAGCACAAAATGTTATTTGAATGTTTCAGGTCGAAACTAATTTTTTTATTCAGGTGTTTAGATATCAGGCAGGCTGTCAGTCTAATACAGAGCTCTATTACATGAACAGACAACCCTTATGCTACCCTTGGTTCAGTCTTTGTTGTCATTGTTGGCAGCTAAACACATGTTAATAAACTCAGTTCACACAGCCTTCTATGCACTTCTTACAGTTAGGGTGACCAGATAATGTCCCACATTTTGACTAATATTCAAAAGTTAAATCACTGCAGGACAGACACCTTTCTAAAATCTGGTTTTATCTGTCGGCTGTGAAGAAAGCACCGACAGTATGTAGAAGCAGGGAAAGCTGTCATCACGCGGCTGTGTTTGATGTCAGTCAAACTGCCTGCGTCAAGTAAGTGCAGGTTAATCTGTCAGTGTCTGTGCTACTGTGCTACACTACACCTCAAATTACAAGCACACAGCCACAACCTATGCAGACTTGGGCAGAATATGATAGAAAGTACCACAAAGAAAAGGAAATGCAGCTACAACAAAGATTATGAAACCACTGGGTGAAGCCAATAAGGAAAGTGAATATCAAGACTATAAGAACTGTGAAACTTGAGCTTCCTTTTACACTTGCTGTATTTACTTAGTGTGGGAGTTTGTTCTGTTTTACGAGCTAAGGGGCAGCATAGATATGTTTATTTTGTTACATAGACATTAGATCAAAACTTGGACCACCTCACAGCATTGGTAAGGTGTCCCACATTGTCCCACATAAACTTATTCTTCATCCCACATTCAGTTTGTTTGGAAATGGTCATCTTTTTAAATTTTTAAATGTATTAAAAGGCTGAAAACCAGAATGTATGTGTTGCATAGGCTATATCATTGCAATAGTCTAATCCTAGACTCATGTTGGCCTCCACATCAAGAAGGTAAATAAAATGTTTATTCCATGTGTTAGTGAATTTTCAAATATTCTAGAATGGCAAGAAATTTGTTGTAGTATTTCGAATAAGGACTATTCCCCTGGGCAGAATTGGTCCCCCCCAATGTTGAGTCTGTGGTCTTTGGTAACACCTGAGTTTGCCCTACTATTTCATGTCAAAATGGCTGCTGTGATAAA